AAAAAAGAAAAAAGAAATTATGTTCATGAGATGATCAGAATACACAAATTCATAAGGATAGAAAGCAGATCAGTGGTTGCCAGGAGAGAATGATTGTTAATGGGTATGAAGTTTCTTTTTTGGAGGGATGAAAATCTAGAATTAGCTAATAGAGAAGGTTACACAATTTTGTGAATATATTTCAAAGTAATTATTTGTATGCTTTAAAGTAGTTAACATGGTGAATCTGATGTGGATTTTATCTTAATTTAAAAAAAAAGAATGACTCCAAAGTAATAAACTATTAAACAAAGAATTATGCACAAGCAGACCCACACCAAAATTAATAGTAAAGAATATTCGTCAGGTCAAAAGAAAATAATAGCAATTGAAAGAAAGAATAATGAATGGGTAAATACGGAAGCAAATCTACAGGAGTAACATAATACACAATATTTAGACAACAGTCCAGGTATTCTTGAGACTCTTCTGTGTTCTCAAGTGTGAGAAACATTGAAGAGAGCCAAATAGGAGGGACCCTTCCTAGAGAAGTCTCTGGATCGCAGAGCTCAAAGATGGTCGTCTTTGCGGCTGAGATCAGAGGTGCCAGGTCTTTAGAGTGACTGAGCTGGAGTTCTGACGGAATGCATGCATGGGAAATATAAGCCTCTATTACAAATAAAAATCTAATGAAGTATAAGAACTTACATCTTTATGTAATCAGTTGATTCGTTTTCCATTTCAATTTAATTTTTTTCAGTTTTTCAAAAGCTTACCACTGGGGAACACCCCTTGGTACATACGAGACTGCACCTACCCTTTCTCAAGCACATCCTCCTTAGAAGAAACTGAGAAGAAAGGCTCACTCTTATAAAGCTTTTGAATTGCTGTTTTTACTCTAGATGATTTCTTGGGAGGTTTCGGTGCTTGGAACACACTGAATTCTTCTTTCTAAAAAGTGGTGAGACAATGAACAAAAATTGGGGAGGTGGTGATGATAGAAAATAAAGCATAATTCTGCAGGTATACCTAAATTTGTTTCACAAGATCACTGCTGACCCCTAATCTACCACCAACCATCTTCTCACTAGAATAATTTTTCTCCTGACTTAAATTCCATGTATGCAGCCCAAACCAGAAACCACAGCTCTCTAGACTAGGAGGAGACAGGGTCAAAAGCTGATGTGTCGGTGCTTCCATCACTGCTGAGGAAGGCTTGTCCTGGAGGAAACACCAGGCAAAAACGTTTCTTTTGCTACAACCGACTAGACTTTGGGTTGACTATGCGCATGGGTTGGCAAGGCAGAAAGAATGGAGAAATAAAGTAAAACTTCTTTGATCCCTAAGAAGGGATGGCTATCTTAAAAGCACTTCCTATTTGGGCATTTTATTTTCATGGTTCTTGTCTTCACTTATCAAGGTTATTTATAAGAAAAAAATCATTTCAATTCAGAATATGAGAAGCTGCATTAATCGAAAAGTATAAACATCTAAATGTCTAAATGGTGGAGAAAGAAACGATTATCAGATAACAGAGGTATCTCAATATGTTATATACATAAATATGACATTATCTAATATTATTAATGGCTGAAAACTCTTGCACCCATGAAAAAATGCTGATGGAGATATAAAAAGAAATAATTAGTACATAAAAGTACAGGTGCCCTGAAACTAAAAATTCACAAAGAATCTAAAATCAATGGATAAATGAAATTAATCCTTGTCTAGAAGTGTGAGAATAAATGATTTGTCTCTCTCTCGTTTCTAAATTTACAGTAAGCTTTATTCTTTTTCTCATTTGAAAAATACATACAATTTTTTAGATTATATATGTTGCAGGAGAGCGATAAGTATATTTGTGATGTTGTAGAATCTGGAAGAAACAATAAAACCTTACATCCACAAGGGGCCAAACAACCCTCTGATGTACAACATACTTGAATTATGACAAACTGCACCTACAACTGTCAGTTCTGGTTTTGGTTTTGTTCTTTTGGGTACATCTTATATTTAGTCATGTATACTACAGAGTGTAGGAGCCCTGGTGGTGTAGGGGTTACACATTGGGCTGCTAACTGCAAGGTCAGCAGTTCAAAACCACCAGTGTCTCCGTAGGAGAAAGAACAGGCTTTCTATTCCGGAAAATAACAACAATGAAAAAAAATTGAAGGGGTGTACTCGGATTACATCAGAACTAAATTTTAAGGGGTGAACTTCAATGACATCAGAACCAACTTCTAATAGGATCATCAGAAAGGAACCCTGTTGTAAAAGTAGGGACTACCTGTATTCATATATTTTAAATAAGGCATTCTTATCAAAATGCAATTTACCGTAAACGTACGGGTTTTTCATGATCAATTCTATTTCGATGGACTAAATATATGTCTTTATGCCAGTACCACAATATTTTATGAATATAGCTTTGTAGACAACTTTGAAATCAGCAAGTTGTGTGTCCTTCAATTTAGTTGTCCATTCTCAATATTGCTTTTGCTATTCTGGACCCCTTGCAATTCCATCTGAATTTGAGGGCTCGATTTTCCACTTACACAAGAAGGAGTGCCAGGCCTCTATGTTAAAGATATATATTGCCTCTATGTTAATATTGCTTCTATGTTAAAGATAATTCTGCCGTTGTGACTTGCCCACCGTTGTCGGTGGATTTTGACTCGGCACTACGCTACGCAGAGTTTTTGAGACTGTAAATCTTTACAGAAGCAGTAACTTCATTTTTATCCCTCAGAGCAGCTGGTGGGTTCAAACTGTTAACTGACCTTGCAGTTAGCAGTCCGAAACATAAACCACTGCACCACCAGGGCTCTTTAATGGTGCCAACAGAGAGATGCAAATGAAAACAACTGAAACGTCATCTCATATTTCTTGTTCCCAAGATAAAACATTTGAGATTAGAAATCCCGTACATAAATCATTGATTAGAAGTTAGACTTCTTATCTCTTTGTTACAGCCATCTGCTTGGAGGAGTCCTGGGACAGCAATACTAGACAATGGAAAGATCAAGAACTTGTTCTTCCACATCCATCGGTGTACATAACTCAGCCTGTGAAAAATGATGGTTCTGCACTTGGTTTTCTTAGTGCCTAACTGTTGCAGCAAGTGCAGCAATGACTCTAAAAGAGCTTTAGGGTGAAACTCCCTTCAATAACTAGGATCACTACTATCCATTTCAGAAAGGGGTCAGTGCATCCACAGCCTCCTTACCTGGACCTCGAACACCTGTGGAATGCAGGATTTGGGTCGGAGTGGCAGGAGGGTGGCCATCTGTGGGAAAGGGTCAATGTCCTTCCTGGGTTTCTCCTGGCGGAGGTGCCAGAGCTTCAGTTCAGCACTGGTGTGTTTTGTGGAGTCGGAGTGAGTAACACAGAATCTTGGTGCCCTATTTTGTGAAGGAAAAAAAATAAGATTAAACTAGATGACAAGCCTCAAAGATCAAAAGGCTACAAAGTGCCCAATAGCTTTATTTACACCTGCCAGCTTCTCTACGCCCCCTTTCCTAGTTATTTCAACTCCTTTTTCTACTGCCTAGTCTTTAAAAATATATATTCTCTATGACAGGTACACTGTCTGAAGTTCCACGCATTCCCATCAAAAGACAATTCCCAAAAGAAAAAAAACAGAATGTCCAAATTATTATCTGCATGATAAGAACAAGAAACCTATGCATCTATCACTGAAGATTTTTTTTTAATTACCTATAGTTGTTATAGGTAATAATAGCTACTTACAACAATAAAGCCCTGGTGGCACAGTGGGTTATGAGCTGGCTGCTGGCCACTTGTGGTCAGCAGTTCAAAAGCACCAATCACTCTGTGGGAGGAGGCTTTGTGCTCCCATCAAGATTTACAGCCTCAGAAATCCATGGGGGGCAGTTCTTCTGTCCTATAAGTCATTATGAGTTAAAACTGACTGATGGCAGTGAGCTTCTTTTTACACAGTTGCTAGTAAAATTAATAGAAAATGTGTCTGTGATCATTTTAGAGCAACGTACTGGTTTAGTACCAAAATGCAATTGATGGCTGAAGTTCCTGTTTTTAATCATATAAGCCGCTTTCTTAAGGCTAACATCGACTACTAAAGCGGGCTCTTATTCCTACCCTGAGTTTCAAGTTTTCAGTCTGAAGGTAAGAATTAATTCTGCAACAACTGCTGTAAATGAAAAGCCTACAGTTGCCGCCAGAGACCAAAGGATAGGAATGTTTGGCACAATATCAAGGCCACACTTAATTGGATTGATATTCTGGTATTCCGTCTGTGGGCTCTTTATTGGACAGAAGGTTAACTCCAGCTGTTGGGGCCTGTTACTAATTGCTGCTTGGACCAGATTTTCGCCCTGATGTCACAGCCCCAAGTGGCTCCTGCCTACTCCCTGTCTTTCAGGGCCAGGTAGAAAATTGCCTCACTTTGAAACAGGAAGATCAATATTTCCTTGATGTGAACACAGGCTAGAAGTGGAAGAGGACCCAAGCCTCACAATTCATTTTGGATACAAAATAATTCCAGCACCTCAAAGACTCTTTCGTACTACTTTTCGGTCCTTACACCCCGCCCTCCACCGTTCACTCCTGGCCACCACCAATAGGTTTTCTGCCTCAGTCATTTTGTCTTTCTGAGGTTGTAATGACAAAATGGCTCAATGAAAAAGAGTTTTTTGAGATGGTGGAATTGTTTTGCATCATGATTTTCATAGTAATTAAATATATCTATATATGTACTCTACATTCGATTCTTTTGTTAAAACATTCTTTAAAATCAATTTTGCTTCACATACAGTCCTATAGGGTTTCTTCCTTATTCAATTTTGAAGGTCTTACTGGACGTTGACTAAGAAAGACCAAAGACGAATCCGTGCATTTGAATTGGGGTGGTGGAGAAGAATATCATAAGTACCATCTACTGCGAAAAGGACAAACAAATCTATCTTGGAAGAAGTACGGCCAGAGTGCTCCTTGGAGACAAAAAATGCAAGAGTTTTCCCTACATACTCTGGACCTGTCAGGAGAGCCCAGACCCTAGAGAAGGACATCGTGTTTGGTAAAGTGGAAGGGCAGCAAAAAAGAGGCAGGCCCTTGCTGAGATGGATTGACACAGGGGCTGCAAAAATGGGCTCAAGCATAGGAGCACTGGTGAGGACCCATCAGTGCTCCATTCTGTTGGGCACCAGGTTGCCATGGGCCAGAACCAACTTGCTGGCACCTAACAACAACAACAAGGTTGCTATATGCACCAAAAGCAACCCAACAGCAGTGGGTTCGGTTTGGGCTTGGTGTCAAACACTGAGGAGGAGGGAAAAGAAGAGACAGTCGTCTCAACAGATAATGCTGGGCACCAGCTCTTCATAGAAAAAAGAAACTGGATCTCAATCTAAACCTCATACAACATGACCTCTAAATGGACCCTGGTCTTAAAACTAGAGGGGCTCCAGGGACTCATGGGGCCTATGACTATAATCTCTATAACACGTCGGGCCCTATGAATCAGACAAGTGAGGCTTCTACATGTCCTGTCACATATACACTTTGTTTGATAAAGGTCTTATAGATAAGTCCACTAATTAATTGATATACAAATAAGAGGCTATTTTTGCATAGTTATTTCCAAGTAAAGGCTCTTAGATATAAAATAAAACTAAACATGTAGTTAGAATATGTATGACTCAGGAACCTCACTGTTGGGCATGTAGCCAAGACAAATGAAAACAGATTTTGACACAGAAACATTTGAACATGTATGTTTATAGAAGCTTTATTGGGTATGTCCAAAACTGAAAGCCACACAAATGACCTCAATGGGTGAATAGCTGTAGGATGTTCATACAATGAAATAGTACTCAGCCATGAAAAAGAACAAGCTGTTGATAGGCATAATTAGGGTGGGGTCACAAGGGAATTACTCTGGAAAGAGCTAATTCTAAAACATGGGCTGAAATGAAATTTCTATCAAATGTTGAATGTGAAATTGATGATATGCTCTACCAACTTTCACCTAAATCATAATAAAAAGTTTTTGTTATTTTGAATAAATAAAATCTTATGTACTACATGAATTCAGTTCTGTAACTGATGAGTAGATACCAGGGGTTAGAGATCTAGGGCAGGGGGGAGAGGTTAGGAGGGAGGTAGATGTAGTTAGTAGGGAGTTTGGGAGGTAGATGTAGTTATTAGGGAGGTAGGGAGGTGGGTGTAGTTAGTAGGGAGGTAGGGAGGTGGGTATAGTTAGTAGGGAGGTAGGGAGGTGGGTGTAGTTAGTAGGGAGGTAGGGAGGTGGGTGTAGTTAGTAGGGAGGTAGGGAGGTGGGTGTAGTTAGTAGGGAGGTAGATATACTTAGTAGGGAGGTAGATGTAGTTAGTAGGGATGTAGGGAGGTGTATGTACTTATAAAAAGGCAGCACGGGGAATGCCTTGTGGCAATGAATCTGTTCTGTATCTTGATTGTAGTGACAAATGCATGTGATGAAACTGCATAGAACTGTAATGAACATAAAAAACCACCCTATTATGACCAAAAGGCTCCCTGGTGGCGTAGTGGTTTTGTGCTGGGCTACTAACCACAAGGTCAGCAGTTTAAAGCCACCAAGTGGGAGAAAGGGGAGGCTTTCTACCCCTGTAAAGGGCTAGTCTTGGAAACCCGCAGACGCAGTTTCTACTGTGTCCTATAGGGTCACTATGAATTGGGATAGACTCAATGGCAGTGAGGGTTTTTTTGTTTTTAAGTATTATGAGCAACTGTATGGACATAAAGTGAACAACTTATATAGGTGAAACACACTAATTTCTTGAAAGACACAATCCACCAAAACTCACACCAGGAAGAATAGATCATTGGAAGAGGTCTGTACTATAGAAACTTTAGTTGTAAGAATAACTTGCCCAACAGAAAGAAGTACCAGAGCCAGAGGGTTCCCTGGTAAATCCTAACAAACATTTCAAGAATACGTGAGACCATGAGGGTAGGGGAGGACTGTGGGGAGGGAGAGAAAGGGGAACTGATCACAATGATGGAGGTTGAACCCCACTCCCCATGAGGGGCATGAATAACAGAAATGTGGGTGAAGGGAAGCAGTGGACAATGTAAGATATGAAAATAACAAGAACAATATACAATTGATCAAGGGTTCAAAAGGGTGGGAAAGTGGGGAAGGGAGGGAAAAAAGAGGAGCTCATACTAAGGGCTCAAGTAGAAAGAAAATGTTTTGAAAATGATGATGGCAACATGTACAAGTGTGCTTGATACAATTAATGCATGGATTGTTATGAGCCCCCAATAAAATGATAAATTAAAAAAGACTTAAAAATAAAGAATAAATGTCATAATTCTCTATCATCTCTTCCAGAAAGCAGAAGCAGAGAGAACACTACCAAACTTACTCTACATGGGCACATCACCTGGTACCAAGCTTACTCTATATGTGCACATCACCTGGTACCAAGCTTACTCTATACGGGCACATCACCTGGTACCAAACTTACTCTATACGGGCACATCACCTGGTACCAAGCTTACTCTATACGGGCACATCACCTGGTACCAAGCTTACTCTATA